TGGAATAGTTTAGGTTAGATGGGCTTCAGATTGGTTTCACAGGTCGGCGCAACATCGAGAGCTGAAGGGCCTGTCCTGCGCTGTAATGTGCTATGTATCTATGTATCTATCTATGTAGGGGCCTGCTGTGAGTAGGGGTTGCTGTTTAAAATGCTTGGGGGGGCGCAGTGGTGTGTGTGGGGAGCTGAGAGTACAGGGTGCTGTTTGACTGCAAGGCTTTTAAATGAGGACTACCCAGCTTCACCCTGGGATTTTCCGAACAGGAATCATATTTAAAGTGAAAGCAGCCCTCACTTGAGGTGGGTCTAGTAGCAGAGAGTGAGTGAATCACGGTATCAGAGAGAAGATACTGGCAGTGATTATGCCCACCATTAAACATTATGGGGATTCAAAGCAGCCTCATTGCTCTTTGTCACTCGGTCAGAGATCCAAGCAGCCATTGCTGTCTTGGAGCTCACAGCTTCTCAATATTGGCTGTGGCACTGTGACCCACACTTTGGACAGCCCTAGAATCAGCAGAGGGAAAGTTTCCACAGACCTGGACATTTGCTGTTGAACAGTCACAGATCTCCAGATTCAACTTTGTCAATCTAATGTTTTGCTTTTTGTTTCTCACCTTCCATCTCAGTTAACATTCTGCTCTTTTATTCTAATTCTGAGCAGAGTCCTGATCACAGATACTTCAATCTTTGCTGATTCAGTTCTCCTACTGCTAAAATTTAATATTCTTATATTTTTCTTAACCCTCTTGTTACCCTTCCCTTGGTCTCTGTCCTACTCTAGTTTCACAGCTGCTCCTCACCCTTTTTACAAACTCTCTTTCTTCCTTTCATTCCACTCAGTCAATGATGACCATCAATAACCCTTTAGTCCCCAGATTCTCTCACTAAATCTCTTAACCCCCGACTATTGAGGCCTTTCTTTAAACCCTACCCTTTTACCCAGTTTTTGGTAACCCCCTTCTTCTTTCTTCACGATTTTTTGAAACGTCTTGAATATTTGTATATATTAAAAGACAGCACATAAATGCAACTTTTTTGTTCATTGATCAAAAGGGAGCAATCTATTAGCTCTGCTCACAGTGCACCAGTGAAACTTTAGCTTGTCTATCACATGGTACACTTTTGCTTTCCAATGAGTCTTATATTTATAGCTAAGTATCAATTTTGTCAGGTTTCATGGAGTGTTGTCACTGTGAGGCTTAGCAAGTTTGCTTGCACTGTTTTCCCAAAATGTCATTAACCCCCTAACCCTCCATGGGACCCCTGTTGTCCAATGCTAGCTCAGTTCTCCCACTCACGCTGCCAGGATCTTCTGGGACCCCGAGCACTGGCGCCATATTTAAAAAGGTTGTTGTGCAGCTGGACAAGTGCTGACTGTCCTGAGCTGCCTGGTACAACTCATAACATCTGCTTCAGACATGGTGGACAAGGGGAAACTGACATTTCATGCTGGAGGTCACAGCAGGTCAGACATCATCCATGGAGAGAAAGCAAGCTGACATGAAGTGTCAGCTCTGATGAAAATTCATCTAGACTCGAAACATTAGCTTGCTTTCTCTCTCCATGGCTGCTGCCTGACCCACTGTGATTTCCAGCATTTTGTTTTCAGTACAGATTCCAGCATCTCCACTGACATTCCGTATTATAGGCAGGGACCTGGAGATCCTGGTGGATGGGCTAGCACAGAGTAGGGACATCCAACTCCCCCAGGACAAGCAGAGGAAGCCACAGCACAAAACCCTCCCATACAGGGGGCAGTGGAGGAGGTGTGCTCAACTCAGTTGGCTGGACAGCTAGTTTGAACAAAGAAAGAAGAACAAAAAACCGTACAGCACAGCAACAGGTCATTTGGCCCACCAAGACTGTGCTGACACATGATGCCTTTCTAAACTAAAAACCTTTGCCTCTACGTGGTCCATATCCCTCTATTTCCTGCCTGTTCGTATATCTGTCCAGATGCCTCTTAAACGTTGCTATTGTATCCGCCTCGACCACCACTTCCCCTGGCAGCACATTCCATCCTTTTAAAAAAAAACTCGTGTCTCACACCTCCTTTAAAATTTCCTCTCATATTTTAAACTTATGTCTTCCAGTACTTAATATTTCTACCTTGGGAAAAAGACTCTGACTATCCTTTCTATCCTTGCCCCTCATAATTTTGTAACCTTCTATTTGGGTCACCCCTCAATCTCCATTATTCAAGTGAAAACAAACCAAGTTTGTACAATATCTCCTCATGGCTAATACCCTCCAAACCAGATAACATCCTGCTAAACCATTTCTGTACTCTCTCCAAAGCTGGACTATTAATCCAGAACCCCAGGCTAATGTTCTAGGTACATAGCAGATGGCGAAATGTGAATTCGATTAAAACAAAAGATCTGGAATAAAATTGTGCACCTAATTGCAACCGTGTAACCACTGTTGATTGTCGTGAAAACCCATCAGCATCAGTAATGTTCTTTAGGAAGGAAATGTGCAGTCCTTACTACGCTAGCCTATATTTCCATCCATATCCACAGCAATGTGGCTGATCTTAACTGCCCTTCAGGCAATTAAAACTGGGCAATAAAAGCTGGCCTAGTCAGTGACACCATGTCCCACAAATGAATTGAAAAAGGACCCTGTCAGCCTGATCCAAGGTTGCCCCTGCTGCTGACTGAAAACCGCTGATACAAGCTTCCTGGCTTTGTGAGGTCATTGACTTGCTCACCGAGCTGGCTTGTTCTCGTTCAGACTTTTTCTCGTTCAGACTTCTTGTCACCATGCTAGGTGACATCACCAGTGGAGCCTCCAATGAAGCGGTGTTATTCTACTCTGCTTGGAATTTATATTGTCCGGTCCGTTATGGTGGGTAGTGTCATTTCCGGTTTTGATCTGTATGGGTTTGTATATGGGGTCCAATTCTAGGTGTTTGTTGATTGCATGGTTCTCCACCCATAATGCAATCAACAAATACCTAGAATTGGACCCCATATACAAAACCATACAGATCAAAACCGGAAATGACACTACTCACCATAACAGATTAAACAGTATAAATTCCAAGCGGAGTAGAATAACACTGCTTCATTGGAGGCTCCACTGATGATGTCACCTAGCATGGTGACAAAATATCTGAACGAGAACAAGCCAGCTCAGTGAGCAAGTCAACAACCTCACCCACAACCCGAGCTACACATCTTTGCCAAAACTTTCCTGGCTTTGTGCTTGTCTGGTTAGCACAGAAAGCCTATAAGATGCAGCTGACAGGGCAAAGTGGCATTAGGCCAGGCCAGGCCAGGCCTGAATGCTATGAACAGTGGATAGGCTCAAAGTGAGCGAGTGCTAAGAAACCGAGTATGCAGCCCAGTCCAGACCATGAGCTGCGTGCCTGTTCCTGTGTGCAAAGTGTCCTTGCAGCAACATTACAATGAATGATGCTGGTACACTATGAAGTGCAGCAATGCACTGCAGAAATGTATTGACAGTGGACTAGAGATGTGCCACGATGATGTGGAGAGGCTGGTGTGTCAGTTGCCAAGGTCCATTTTCCATTTTTGTTGGGTACACACAGATGCTGCTCATGGAGCAAGCCCTGAGACATTGGTGCTGGGTGTCGAAGCTGGACATCTGGGTGGGTGAATGAGCGAGTGCATATTAATAAGGTGAGGTTGTGTAGAAATGAGGGTGATGATGACCAATAGTCCACAGTGCTAGGCCCCTCACTGCTCACTAGCGAGAATATCAACTCGATGTCTGGGATTTGGTTGCAAAATGCAACCTTTTGATCTCAATCTTGAGAAGGACCTTGCTCGCTATCTTACCCGATTTTCCCAATAGACTCTGGCCTTTGAATAAACTGTCTTGTTTTACAAGTATATCAATTCTATGTAATTAGAGACAGTGATACAGTGAAAATGTTATATTTAACAGCCACTTGACTTTCAAAGGCACTTCGCCATAAATCCAACTGACAAACACATTTTGTCCCTGACAGAGCAAAATACCGTGAAACCACAGCAGCTTTAACCACAACAAGGTATCTGGTCAAAGAGCTGGAATATATTCCCTGGCAGGCTGCCCTCGATAACCTGGCGTACTTTGAGCTCATGTTTGACCGTGCAGGGGTTTTTGGGCCTATGAAGGTAAGGAATTCTGGAAAAGTAATATATTTCCAGGCCTTCTACACGCAGTCAGTAAATGCTGTGGCTTTGTAGTTGGAAGCATGATAAAATTATCGGTGTAAGGTGGTGTGGTTCCGTCGCTATGGATTCTGCCAACCGTGATGTCTAGGTGTAGGGTTCTGTTCTACACTGTAGAGGTTACTCTCAGAGTCTAGATAGCACCTACTTGGAGGCTGCTGCATCGCTGTTTCTGCCTTGAGTGACAATTTTATGACTCTCACAAATTCCAATAGACTAATTATGTCCAATTTTACGGAATATTGATCTCCGTAATACCACACTCTATATGCTATACATACATTACAAATATATTACAGCTCTTTATAGCTTAAGTACTCCCACATACAGTTATGAACAGTGGTGGAGAATTAAATGACTCACAAATATCCTCATTTTCAATGATGGAAGAGCCTAAAACATCAGTCAAAAGACAAGGCTGAAGCATTTGCAACAATCTTTAGCCAGAAGTGCTAATTGGATGATCCATCTTGGCCTCCTCTGTAAGATCCTAGGATCACAGATACCAGTCTTCAGTCAATTCAATTCACTCCATGAGATAAAGAAATGACTAAAGGCACTGGATACTGCAAAGGCTATCGACCTTAATGACATTCTGGCAATAGTACTGAAGACTTGTCCTCCAGAACTAGCTGCACCCTTAGCCAAGCTGTTTCAATAAATCGGCAACATTGGCATCTACCTGACACTGTTGGAAATTGCCCAGATATGTCCTGTTCATAAAAAGCGGGATAAATCCAACCTGGCCAATTACTGCCCCATCATTCTACTCTCGATCATCAGTAAAGTGATGAAAGGTGTCATCAACAGTGCTATCAAGCAGCACCTGTTCAGCAATAACCTGCTCAGTGATGCCCCGTTTGGGTTCTGCCAGGGTCATTCAGTTCCTGATCTCATTACAGCCTTGGTTCAAACATGGATAAAAGAGCTGAATTCCAGACAGGAGGTGAGAATGACAGCCCTTGAAATTAAAGCTGCATTAAGGGGCCCTAGCAAAACTGGAATCAATGGAAAACAGGGGGAAAATTCTCCATTTGGAGTCATACCTGACACATGGGAAGATGGTTATGGTTGTTGGAGGGCAGTCATCTCAGAAACGGGACATCTCTGCAGGAATTTCTCAGAGTAGTGGCCTAGACCTAACCATCTTCAACTGTTTCTTTAAAAGCCTTCCCTCCATCCTAAGGTCAGAAGTGGGGATGTTCAATGATGATTGTGCAATGTTCAGCACCATTCATGACCCGTCAGATATTGAAGCAGTCAGTGTACAAAAATAGCACAGCCTGCACAATATCCAATTTTGAGTTGAAAATTTAGATGCAAAATTTGCACCACACAAATACCAGGCAATGACTATCGCCAATAAGTGACAATCTAACCATTGCCCCTTGACAATCAACGGCATTGCCTTCAGTGAATTTCCCACAGTCCTGGGGGGTTATGAATGACCGGAGACTGAACTGGACTAGCCATATAAATACTTTGAGCTCCTCTTGTCACCAGAGGCTGGGAATCCTGCAGCAAGTAATTTACCTTTTGCCACCCAAAGCCTGTCCACCATATACAAGACCAGGAGCATGTTGGAATACTAGTCATTTGCCTGAATGAGTGCAGCTCCAACAGCAGTAATGAAGCTTGGCACCATCCAGGAAAAAGCAGTCCACTTGATTGGCAGCACCATTCACAAACATCTGTTTTCCACCATCAACACTCAGTAGCAGCAGTGCGTACAATCTTGAAGATATACTCCAGAAATTTGGGAAAGATCCTTTGATTCAGACTTATAAAATTTGAAAACAGGTCTAGACAGGGTAGATGCAGGGAGGATGTTCCCAATGGTGGGTATGTCCAGAACCAGGGGTCACAGTCAGAGGATTTGGAGTAGACTATTTCTTCACCCAAGAGTGGTGAGCCTGTGGAATTCATTGCCACAGGAAGCAGTTGATGCCAAAACATAGAATGTATTCAAGAGGCATCTAGATATAGCACTTGGGATGAACAGGAATCAAAGGTTATGGGGAGAAATCAGGATTAGGCTATTGAATTGGACGATCAGCCATGATCATGCTGAAAGGCGGAGCAGGCTCGAAGGGCTGAATGGCCTCATCCTGCTCCTATGTTTCTATGACAGCACCTTCCAAGCACACAACAACTTCCATGTAGAAGGACAATGGCAGCAGATACATGAGAACCCCCTTCAAGTTTCTCTCTGAGCCACTCACCATCCTGACCTGAAAACACATTGCTATTCCTTCACTGTCACTGGGTCAAAATTTTCTCTAAGGGCATTATGGGTTTATCTACAGCACATGGAATGCATTGGTTCAGGAAAGCAGCTCACCACCACCTTCTCAAAGGCAATAAGGGATGGGAAATAAATGCTGGCCCAGCCAGTGATGTCCACATCCTGTGAATGAAGAAAAAAAAACACCTTCTCCTTTAACCTTTGAAAATCAAATCACCCCAGCTTGTTTACAGGTAGAATTCAAAACAGCTCAAGTGACATCTCTCATTTCTCCATTTTACTTGCAGAGGCAGCCCTTGAAATACCACAATGTTATAAATCTGATATTTGCAACAGTTGGGCTTCAGCTCTGTTGTTCTGCCTGTTATGCAGTACGTTATCAAACTTCTTTTGGAGGTTCCTATACACAACATGCACATTACCTTCAAATGAAAAATATAATTGAGTTACAGTACTGTTATCTGGGAGGTTTTTATACAGTTTAGCAAGAGGCTTCTAATGCAGTTTTAATGTAGAGGTGCCAGTGTTGGACTAGGGTGGACAACATCAGAAGTCACATGACCCCAGGTTATAGTTGTAGGTGAACCTGACGAAGGAGCTGTGCTCCGAAAGCTTGTGATTTCAAATAAACCTGTTGGAATATAATCTGGTGTTGTGTGACTAATGCAGTTTTAAAAAATTTAATTGTGAGGTTTGGGTGTACCCGACATAGTGAGTATTTATTGCTCATCACTAATAGTCCTCCAAGTTGGTGATGATTCACTGTCTTCAACTATTGCAGGCTGTGTTGCTCAGACTTATTACATTTTATTTGGGGTGTCTGTGGAAGTAGCTGCCACTTATATTGATCTTGGTCTTATCACGAATATTTTGTTGTTGCAGAAATACATGCTACAACAGGTGACCCCACTGTACAAGCACTTTGAAAATCTCACTCAGAACTGGGAGCAACCTAGTAGTCTCATGGATCAGTGAGTATCCATTTTCAATCCAAATGCTCACGACCTGTAGGCTCAGGATTAATTTATCTTGGTGTATAAAGTCATTCCAGGTGGCCACATTCTTAGTGTGGAGATGGATGTATAATAGTAGGTGAAGATTGATGATATAGCCAGTTCCCATTAGCTGCATCCCTGAACTCTTCACCATAATGTCTAAGGTTCAACTGGCCTGCCTGTGCAGAGACCTTTTACTCCTTCACTTAGCAGCTGAAGTCTTCAGAATTTTCCAGCCTATAAAACATTTGTGGTTGGGATAAGTTGTCCAGGTAGTCTGACCTTCCTCATTCCAGACTGTCTATCCCTCTCACTCCACACTGTGTGACCCTCCTCACTTGGGCCTGTCGGAATCTCCTTCTTTCAGACTCTCTCTCGCTTTCATTACTTGTCTTGCCCTTACCCAGTTGAGAATCACTCATATTGGCCACTGCTCACAGATCAGGTGCTCCTTCATGCCACCGTTTCCTTCTCAGTACGTCCTGGGTTAGTGTCAGGCTCAGATCAGGGTCTGTTGTTCCACCTTTGACATTACAGACAGAAAAGGTTCGATAATGCTCCAATAGTATCAGAGGCATTTCCACCATCTCCACATAGTTTAGGTAGGAACAGATTTCTACTCTTGTGGCTCTAGAGCCCTGATCTGTTAAATTTTCTCACCACTCTCACACTCCACATTCTGTGCAAGGAAACTCCAGAGAAACTGCCAATCCTTCAAGGTAGGTATTGGGAGAAATTCGACTCCATGGAATATTATGTCTAAACTTCTTAAATTTAGACTGTGCAAATAAACTTAATTACCTCATTAAAATAAAGGGATCAGCTTAGTTCAGATCATTTGAATTGCATCTTGTCAAAATGATAATTGTGTACATTTTATTTGTGTTTGTGTGTAACTCAATCCCTATTCAGATTGAGATGTTGAGACCTGTTGTTTTGCAGATATAATCAGATTAATGCAGTGCGTGTTGCTTGTGGATATGGTCTCCAAGAATGTAAAAATATGTCACAAATATTTTACAAGAAATGGATGGTGAATCCCAATGATAATCCGTAAGTGTTTTGCACAAACAGGGAAATATTGAAGTGGAGTTTGATAAAATGTAATAATGGTAATGTACAGACTTACATAACGGGTCCAACTTTCTGATCATTGGAGATGTGATGTAAATTGGGGGTGTCCATTAGATCCCTGTGGAAGTCCTGATGCTTGCATGAGAGCTGAAATTGCCCAGCAGAGTCAGAGACACGGGCCAGTGAGTTATCCACAGATGTCTGCTGGAAGTTACATTGTTAAACCTTGCTCGAAGACATGCAGCGCTTCCCAATTTTTTCCTCACTGTGTGAACCCATTTTAATACCTCACTTGGTATGATCCAGGAGTTGTGTGTGGCCCCCATCTCCCCTTCCCTCCCCCCACCTCCCATATTGGGTAGTTGATGAAGATGTGCAGAAAGAACACCAACCTTTTCACACAGCAGGAGTCAGGCCTTACTGATCAGGCAATTAGAGCATACTCTACATTGGAAAACAACACCAGTGCTGTAAAGGGGCCATGCAGCTGTCAGGATCAATCCAAGCACCCTTGCGGTCGACACACACAAACCTGCCCCTGCTACAGGCAGCTGACTGGAAGATCTGAGCCATTGTATTCTGGAAACCAAACATTGATGATATCTGATTTTTTATCATAAATACTAATTATTTCCTTTTCTTTGCTAATACTATAACTTCGTTTTGATAAATAGAATCCCGGTGAATCTGAAGACATCAATTTATTGCAGTGCAATTGCTTCAGGGGATGAGACGGAGTGGAACTTTGCATGGGAAAGGTTTCAAAATGCTACAATAGCTACAGAGGCAGACAAACTGCGATCAGCCATGGCTTGTACCAGACACCCTTGGCTTCTCAATCGGTAAGAATACTGGTCATTAATCAGATCCTGTGAATGTTGAAAACCAATCATCATCTTTGTCAGGAATATTAAACCAGAGATTTCCTGGAAGGAAATGGATTCAAATTTAGACCAAGAGAGTGCCACTCAAAGACAAAAGACAAACTGTAAAGTTCCTAAATACATTGCGTCAACCTATCTTTGGAACACATTTTCCTTGAGCAAAGAGAGAAGGCAAATCAGGAAGTAGTGAGTAGTGTTAAAATGGGTGTGATTAAAGTCTGCAGATCTCTAGAAAATGAGGTAACTTATTGTGGGTATAGGAAAGAATAGCTCATGTACAGAAGGTTCATGGTTTGCTCAATGTTTCTCTGATGTTACAGAATGAATATTTTATTTGTCCTGATACTCTTATTTTCATACCCCTCGCCCCCTTCACCCTGGACCACTGGAAAAGACAGTGGTAATGTCCCTGAACTCACAACTCAGAATTCCAGGCCAGTGTTCTGGGGACACATGGTCGAAACCCACCATAGCAGCTGGAGAACTTTGAATTTGATAAAAATCTGGAAGAAGAAGCTAGCCTAATACTGATTGTCATCAAAAAGCATCTGGTTCACATATCTTTTTCTGGGGAAGAAAATCTGCTGTCCTTACCTGATCTGACCGACACGTGTCTCCAGATCCAGAGCAATGTGGTTAACTCTTAACTGCCTGTTGGATAAGTAAGGATCATCAATAAAAGTTGGCATAACCAGTGACATCTACATTGCACAAATGTGTTTTAATTAAAAAAAAAAACTGCCTCTGTTAAACTCCCTTCCCTGCCTCCACTCCTCTTTTCCACTATACCTCCTCTGGGCAATAGCTGGCTGAGTCAAAAATTGATGCCCACATAATTGCAATGAGCACAGGGGAATCACTTACACTCTTAGAGCCACTTGGAGGCCACTCAGCCCAAGATGAAAGAGCTACCAAATAGCCCCACTCCTCACGCTGCAAACATTTCCTCTTCAATAATTTGTCTACTTCCAAGTCTGTAACAAATAATAATAAACATGTTTACATACCCTGTTACCATGGTAACACAACCATGGAGTGACTGGGTCAGAAGTGACCCCAGTAGGTTTAAAACATTTACGTTTCTTAGAACTCCTTGTATCCACCTCCGTCAAAATGTTATCCCTGCAACAGCCCACCAAACCCTGCTCCCCACCTTGCTGCATGCTGAGTTTCCAGGTTGAGAAGGGAGCATTTGACGGATTTCCACAGTGAGTGCATTTAAACAATATTATAATAAATGATATGCAGCGTATTAGGAGCTGATTATCTATACAAGAACTCTGATTATTTTATGCTTTCTTTAATATGTTGTAGATATCTTCAATATACTTTGGATCCAACAAAGATTAGAAAGCAAGATGCTACATCGACCATTACTTCCATTGCCAGTAACGTGGTTGGTCAGCCTCTGGCGTGGGACTTTGTCAGGGCAAACTGGAAATTCCTCTTTGAGCAGTGAGTTACTGAAACTTCTCAAGGATCATTGCATTCATTCACATCCTGCATCTTTTATACGGAATACAGCTCATATCACACGGCAATTAGAAATATAGGAGAAGGAGGAGGCCATTTGGCCCTTCGACGCTGTTTCGCCATTCTTCATGATCATGGCTGATCTCAATAGTCTAATTCTGCTTTCTCCCCATAATCTTTGATCCCATTCGCCCCAAGTGCTATGTCTAGTCACCTCTTGAATACATTCAATGTTTTGGCATCAACTACTTCCTGTGGTAACAAATTCCACAGGCTCACCACTCTTTGGGTGAAGAAATGTCTCCTCATCTCCGTCCTAAATGGTCTACCCTGAATCCTCATACTGTGATCCCTGGTTCTGGACACACCCACCATCGGGAACATCCTCCCTGCATCTACTCTGTCCAGTCTTGTTAGAATTTTATGAGTCTCTATGAGATCCCCAATCATTTGTCTGAACTCTAGCAAAAACAATCCCAATCTAGTCAATCTCTCCTTATACGTCAGTCCCACCATCCCCTGAATCAGCCTGGTAAACCTTTGCTGCACTCCCTTGAGAGCAAGAGCATCCTTCCTCAGAAAAGGAGGCCAAAACTGCACACAATATTCCAGGTGTGGTCTCACCAAAGCCCTGTACAACTGCAACAACACATCCCTGCTCCTGTACTCGAAACCTCTCGCAATGAAGGCCAACATACCATTTGCCTTCTTTACCACCTGCTGCACCTGCATGCTTACCTTCAGCGACTGGTGCACAAGGACACCCAGGTCCCGCTGCACACCCACCTCTCCCAATTTACAGCCATTCAGGTAGTAATCTGCCTTCTTGTTTTTGCTTCCAAAGGGAATAACCTCACATTTATCCAAATTATCCTGCATCTACCATTGATTTGTCCACTCACCCAAACTGTCCAGATCATGAAGGATCTCTGCATCCTTGTCACAGTTCACCCTCCCACCCAACTTGGTATCATCTGCAAACTTGGAGATGTTACATTTTGTTCCCTCATCCAAATCATTAATATATATTGTGAATAGCTGGGGTCCCAGCACCAATCCCTGTGGTACCCCACTACTTAACTGCCTGTCAGTTTGAAAATTAATTTGTTTTCTCTCTGCCAACCAGTTTCCTATCCATCTCAATACACTTCCCCCAATCCCATGCACTTTAATCTTGCACATTAATTTCTTGGGTGGGACTCTGTCAATGCCCATGGCTTGTTTGATTTTGTTATTCATTCATAGGATGTGGACATTGCTGTCTGGGATAGCATTTATTGCCCATTCCTAATTACCCCAGGGAAAGGTGGTTGAGAGCTGCAGCCCTTGATGTATAGCTATACCCACAATGCTGTTAAGGAGGGAATTTCAGGATTTTGACCTAGCGACACTGAAACTATGGTGATGTATTTCCAAGTCAGATGGTGTGTAGCTTGGAGGCAACTTGCAGGTGATGGTATTCCCATGTATCTGCTGCCCTTGTCCTTTTAGATAGAAGAGGTTATGGGTTTGGAAGGTGCTGCCTAAGGAAACTTTGTGAATTACTGCAGTGAATCTAAAGAGTTTAGAACAGGGCTAACTAATAGATAATAAAGAAATGGCGATTAAATTACCAAATATTCACTACAGAAAATGCAAAAAAAAAAATTAGCAAGAGCTGTCAATCAGGAGGTGTGAGGAAGAGAGGAACTTGGTGAAATTACAATCACAAGGGAAGTGGTAGTGAGCAAACGGATGGGGCTGGGGCTGGGGCTGGGGCTGGGTCTGGGGCTGACAAGCCTCCAGATCGAGATGATCTTAATCCTAGGGTCTCTGCATTGGCCACCAATGAAGCAGTAGGTGCATTGATGTTAATTTTCCAAATTGAGTAATCATCTATAAATGCCAAACTGCCCACATGTCCAATGTCATCACCACACTGGGGTTGATGAGGTGGTGGAGAGTGAGGACGGAGAAAGTGGGTGCTGGGATGACAGGGTGTGAGAAACTGAGGCTGGGGGAGATGAGGGAGAGGTGGAAATGAAGACTGGGGATGAGTAGGAAGGAGAGGTGGAGGTCAGGGCTGACAAGGTGGAGCTTTCTCTCCCTGATGGTGCCTGGCACAGTAGGGTCCCTTAGACACCATGCTGCTGTGGAGGGGCTGTTTCCAGTGACTATGCCCAAGGCCAGGAGCCAGGTCTGTTGCCCTGCCTGCCATTCCCACCCCTGCTCTCCCTTGCCCAGATCCATCTGCTCATACACACAAAGTGCTTGTGAGCAATGTTGAGGTCTCATTTTTCAACATGGTGGCGACATTCACAATAAACATGGCCTTTTTCTGGTTTTTAGAAAGGTTCCATCAAACTGGAAAGTAGCAAATATAATTCTGCTACTCAAAGAGGGAGGCAGGGAACAGGAAACTACAGGCCAGTTTGCTTGATGTCTATTGTGGAAAGGTATTAGAATTGATCATTAAAGGGCTTATAGCTGCATGTTTAGAAAAACACAAGGTAAATAGGAGGATTCACATGATTTTGTGAAAGAGAAATCATAATTAACCAATTTATTAGACTTACTTGAAGGAGTAACACACAGAATCAAAAGAACTGTACAATATAGGAGGAGGATATTCAGCTAATTCTGCTTGCACCAGCTCCCCGAACATTTTGACTTAGTGCCAATTTTCTGCCTCTTCCCTGTAACCCTGCACATTATTTAAATTGAAACAATCATCCAGTGTCCTCTTTAATGCCTCAAACTGAACCAGCCTCTATCTCGTTTCCAGACAGTAAATTCCAGACCTGAACTGTGTGTAAAAAGGCTTTGTCTACCTGCCTCACATTGTTTTGCGAAACAATTTAAATCTTTGACATCATATTCTTGTTTCTTTTATAAGCAGGATCAGTTTCTCCCTATCTACTCTATCCAGACCCCTCATAAGTTTGAAAAGTTCTATTAGATCTCCTCTTAGACTTCCTTTCTCCAAGGAGAACAGACCCAGATTCTCCAACCTCTCCTCAGAACTGAAGTTTCTCATCCATGGAACTGTTCTCCTAAACCTCCTCTGCACCCTCCCTAATGTGTTCACATTCTTTCCAAGTGTGGCATCTACGACTATACACAATACTCCAGCTGTGATCTAACCAGTATTCCTATCTAAGTTCAACATTACCTCCCTGCTCTTTGACACTATGCCCCCTAGGCGAGTGGGACTAGTTAAGTTTGGGAAGCTTGGTCGGCATGGACGAGTTGGACCGAAGAATCTGTTTCTGTGCTGTATGACTTTATTAACGAAGCCCAAATACTGTGTGCCTTATTAACTGCTCTCGACCTGGCCTGCCACCTTAAATTATACACATAAGACCATAAGATGATAGGACATAGAAGCAGAAATTAGGCCATTCGGCCCATTGAGTCTGCTCCGCCATTCAATCATGGCTGATAAGTTTCTCAACCCCATTGTCCTGCTTTCTCACTGTAACCCTTGACAACCAAGAACATATCTCTGTCTTAAATATATTCAATGATCTAATATGCACCCAGATTCCTCTGCTCCTTCAGACCCTTTAGAATAGTACCCCTTATTTTATATTGTCAGAGTTGTACAGACCCTTCAGTCCAACTCGTCCTTGCCGACCAGATATCCTAAATTAATCTAGTCCCATTTGCCAGCATTTGGCCCATATCCCTCTAAACCCTTCTTATTCATATACCCATCCAGATGCCTTTTAAATGTTGTTATTGTTTCCACCTCCACCACTTCCTCTGGCAGCTCATTCCATACACGCATCACCCTTTGTGTGAAGAAGTTGCCCCTTAGGTCTCTTTTAAATCTTTCCTCTATCACCTTAAACCTATGCCCTCTAATTTTGGACTCCCTACCCTGGGAAAAAGGCTTTGTCTATTCATCCTACCCATGCCCCTCATGAATTTTAAAAACCTCTTTAAAAGGTTATCCCACAGCCTCCACTCCGGGGAATAAAGCCCCAGTCTATTCAGCCTCTTCATATATTTCAAGCCCTCCAACCCTGGCAACATCCTCGTAAATCTTTTCTGAACTCTCAAGTTTCACAACATCATTCCTATAGCAGGGAAACCAGAACTGTATTCCAAAAGTAGCCTAACCAATGTCCTGTACAGCCACAATATGACCTCCCAACTCCAATACTCAATGCACTGACCAATAAAGGCATTTCTTTTGAACATTCTCCCTACCAAAATGTATCACCCTACACTTCTTTGTATTGAACTTCATCTGCCACATCTACCAACTTGTCAACATCCTTTTGAAGTTCTACACTGCTTTCCTCAGTTTACATTTCTAAGTGTGGTACTGTTTGTAAGCTTTGAAGTTGTCCCCTGCAAATTAATATCCAATTCATTTATATATATCAGAAGAAGCAAGAGTTTCAGCACAACTCCACTACAAACCTACCTCCAGCTCACACAAAATATTCCAATCAGCCAATGCTCTATCTTGTCCCTCAGCACTTTGTTATTGGTATTTTTATTACATGAGTTATAACTTGTCTCACAAGTCTATCATGTGGCATTGTATCAAATGCCTTTTGGAAGTCAGAGTACACTACATTAAAAGCATTGCTGTTATCACCTCCACTGTTAGGTCTTTAAAAAAAATCCTGCAAGTTAATACACACAATTTTCCCTTAACAAATCCCCAACAGCACAAGTAAAATGGCCCATAAGGAACTCAGAGATAGTAGGAACTGCAGATGCTGGAGAATCCGAGACAACAAGGTGCAGGGCTGGATGAACACAGCAGGCCAAGCAGCATCATAGGAGCAGAGAGGCTGACGTTTCGGGCCTAGACCCTTCATCAGATGAAGGGTCTAGGCC